CTGAAGGTCTACCTCTTATTGCCACACCTCCTTCTCCACCGACTCTTCCTCCCACCGATCCTCCTACGGGTCGACCACGCCGGGTAACTCAACCTCCTCTCCATCTTCGTGATTATATTGTTGGATCTGCTGCCTTCTCTACTTATGAACCTACCGGACTGCCTGTTTATATAGGAAAATGGTGGTTGTTTGGCTTGAATTAAACAATACAAAACCTGTTCAGTTTAAATTAAACACATACAAATCTGTTTAAATAGGGAAGGCACTACTTGGTTTGAATTTTAATGGCTCTATTGAACGCTACAAAGCTCGTCTTGTTGCCAAGGGTTTCAACCAGGAATATGGTATTGATTATGAGGAGACATTCTCTCCTGTTGCTCGGCTTACCTCTGTTCGCAGTTTACTTGCTATTGCTACTGCTCGCCACTGGGGGCTCTTTCAGATGGATGTCAAAAATGCTTTCCTCAATGGTCATCTCCTTGAGGAGGTCTACATGCAACCTCCACCTGGGTCCACTTTTCAACCTCATCAGGTTTGCAAACTACAGCGTGCTCTCTATGGCCTCAAGCAGGCGCCTTGTGCTTGGTTTGCTACGTTCAGTTCTACCATTCATGACTTCGGGTTCACCTCTAGCTCCTATGACTCTGCTCTTTTTATACGGCCTACTTCTCATGGTACCACTCTTCTTCTTCTATATGTGGATGATATGATTATCACTGGTAATGATGAAGCTGGTATTCTCCACCTCAAATAGTTTCTCCACCGACAATTTGAGATGAAGGATCTTGGTACTCTTAACTACTTCTTAGGCCTTGAAGTCTCTCATGATTCTACTGGTTCCTATTTGTCCCAGGCCAAATATACATTCGATCTTCTGGCTCGTGCTGGTCTTACTGATTGCAAAACTACCTCTACTCCAGTTGATCCTCAAATTCGTCTCACTCCTCTCGATGGGACTCTTCTCTCTGATGCTACTCTTTATCGCTAGCTCGTCGGCAATCTTGTCTATCTCACATTAACTCGTCCTGACGTTGCCTATGCTGTTCACATTGTCAGTCAGTACATGTCGGCTCCCCGCACTCCCCACTATGCTGCTCTACTCCGCATCCTTCGCTACCTCAAAGGCACTCTGTTCCATGGCCTTCACTTTTCTGCTTCCTCCTCTCTTGAACTGCGTGCCTTTTCCGATGCTGATTGGGCTGGGGATCCTACGGATCGACGCTCTACCACGGGTTTCTGCTTCTTCTTAGGGGATTCTCTTCTTGCTTGGCGTAGTAAACAACAATCCCTCACTGCCCGCTCTAGCACCGAAGCTGAATACCGAGCTCTTGCTGATACTACTCAGGAACTTCTCTGGCTTCGCTGGCTCCTTGCTGATATGAGTGTTTCTTTTTCTGGTCCTACCCCTCTCTATTGTGACAATCAGAGTGCCATTCAGATTGCTCACAATGATGTTTTTCATGATCGCACCAAACATATTGAGGTGGTGTTTGGCAAGTTAGGTTGGGGCTAAAATAGCCACAAAAGACAAAATAGGCTATTTTAGCCACAACAAACAAAACATCACATCCAACCCATAATCATTACACTCTTCTCTCACAAAAAAAGTCAAAAAAGCCAAAAAGCCAAAAAGCCCTTCCCAAACCAAGCTTTTTAGCCCAGGCTAAAATAGCCAAAAAAGTCAAAAAGCCAACCCACTTCCCAAACGGAGGCTGAGATTGATTGTCATTTCATTCGCTAGCATGTTACCTGTGGTACTGTTCATCTTCTCCCTATTGCTTCAGTCGATCAACCCGCTGATATCTTCACTAAAGCTCATCCTCCTGGCCGCTTCCATGATCTTGTTTCCAAACTCAACTTGGTTGATGCTTTCCCTCCTTGAGTTTGCGGGGGGATGTTAGTATATTATTGTATATTAGTGATGTTAGTATATTAGTGTTAGTATCTTTAGTATATTATTGTACATCTAGTAGTGTTAGTCATAATTGTTAGTGTATCATTATGTCTAGCTTTCATAATGAGTGTTCCCCCTTTCCTTTATGCTTTCGGTGCTAATTGGCACCCTATGTATCTTTTCCTCTCTATAAAAGAGAGTGTACATCTCCTTGTAACATACACAATAACTGAATAATTCAGTGTCTCTTTCTCTCTCTCTCTATCCTCTATCACTCTCTCAAATTATTGTTTCATATACCATTCACCCAATCAATCATCTGTTGTCGTCTCTATTATCAACGCTACCAATAATCACTCTAACCCCCTTTTTACCTCTAACCACCACCCCTTCCCTGCTCTCTCGCCATCCCTAACCCCTCAACTTAACTTACTCCAACTAGTACCCATTCCTCAACCTCCAAAATCTTCTCTTATCCTATTGTGCCATCCTTGCAACCATCTCCCACCCTTGTGAGCATCACCCCGTAGCCCCTCACAACAACCACAAACCATTTCTAATCTTGCTCTACACCTGCGACCCTCCTCCTAGCCATGCTCCACTACCCCGAACCTTCCCTCTCTACCTTCTTCCGTCGTCGTGAACTTTACTTCAACCTTAGTTTAAGTTTGAGAGAGAGATATATCTAGGGTTTAAAAAAGAATAGTCTAGTAGCTGGTAAAGAGAAGTTCAAGTGTGAGGGTGGTGGCAATTACTAAAAGGAAGAAACGTGGTGGTTATGAGGGAGTGTAGAGAAAAATGAAAGTTCATATAGAACAAGAGTTTTGTCCTTGGAGGTAATTTGACTTAAGGATATTATAGAATTAAAAAATAATAACAATAAGTCACATGTAGAGTGGCCTAACAATTTTTTTGGTGCTCTCTGTCATCCTTCTTTGTTTCTATCCAAACATTCTCTTTCTTATAAGAGAATCTCTAACCTTTCAATACTTTTTTCGTCAAGTTTGATTTCAAATTTAAATGAAAAACATTCCATATGAATTATTCTAAATTTTTCATTAAATTTTCATCAAAATCTTTTTAAAAAATTTCTGTTATCTCAAATTTCTCTTTTCATTAAATTTGATTTAAAAAAATATCCCCACTACTTTATCTTTTTAAATTTTTATTTAATCTCAATTTGATGAAAAAATATCTCCCTTAATTTGATAAAAAGATTGAAGATAATTTTTTAATAATGTTAGGTATCATGAAAAATCTATCATGAAAATAATCATGATAGCTTTGTGACCATTGAATTACACTTAAAATAAAGTACCACACACTAATCAAGATAATCCAAGGATCATAAATCTTTCATGATTATTTTCATGAAAAAAATTTCATGATGCGTAACTTTTCTCCCTTTTAATAAATAAAGCCTTCTCATTAGTTATATGAAACCCTCATTTCAATTTTCATGTCCTACGTGACGCACCCAAATTATTAAATGAAGAGCGCTTAGAATGAAACTTTCATTTTGCCTCTATATTATTATCATTCAACAACGGTCTCCAATTCCATGCAGTTGCAATCACACAATCCAATTTTTAATTTAAATAAAATAAATTTATATAATTATGAGTGATTAGATAATGGAGATAGACATCTTTTTAAAAAATTGAATCCAAACCTCCAAGAGAGGAGCTAATTTAAGGGAAAACATCTAAAATACAAAATATGAAAAATAATCTTAAACTCATGAAAATACAAATAATTCATGCACTAGAATTATGTGTGTAAATATTGTACTTTTAAAAGTTTGAAATTATTGTTTACTTATTCACTTTTTAAATATTCCCCCAAATTCAAATGTGGTAGGTAGGCCTCTCACCTAAAAACCAAACTCATTCAAAACAAGAAGAGGGGACCATGACAGACAGAGCTCTACCTCCACCAACCACTCAATTGAAAGCCACACTAAAAGAAAGACCCAAGATAAAATTATAGAGACAAACCATACATGCATGAAAGCGCAGGTCTCTTTGACAGATTGTAAAGTTTGTAAACTAGTTATTTAAATTTCTTTAGTCCAAGGAATGTTCTCCCAAAAATTCCACAAATCAAGCACTAAACTAATCGTTTGTCCCTTGGCTCTTCATTACTAAAGAAGTCCTAAAGTTCAATCTAGTCATTGAATCAATTAGGGCCTCTTTAAGTTAAGTTGTGTGTTTATCATTTTCTTCGTTTTCATTTTTATATTTTCAAAAACAAAAACAATAAAAAATTTAAAAGAACCCATTATTTTTGTGTTGTTTTCATCTTCTGCAAAAAGAATTCTCAAAAAATTCAAAATCAACCTTTTTCAGTCATTTTTTTATTTCCTGTTTTCTATTTTTGTTTTCAGTTTTTCTTAGACAGAGAGAGAGAAATAAAAAAAATAAAAATAAAACTTGTTTGATATATATATATTTTTAAATTGATTCCAAAATTTCAAAATCTTTGAAAACATAAAAAATGTGTTTTCATTTGCATTCAAAACAATTTTACACTTTTTCATCTCCCTCACCACCTCCTCTAACGACCACCCACCACCACCACTATTGACTTTGGTCAGCTTTGACCAACCACTAATGAGCTCCAATCACTTTTCGATAACTTTGGCGTCTAACCCATCACCATTGTGACTTTCAACCATCTTTCAGCAAAGCTTTGACAACCCTCCAACCACTACCTTCGGCTGCCCCCCACCGCCAATCACATCACATCTATCCACCATCCATCGTGAACCACCACCTCTAGCTACTCACCAAACATGTTTATCTATTTATGTTTTTATTTATTTTTAAAATATTTTTGTGCACTAAGCAAGTTTTTTGTTTCTATTTTTAATAAAAACACAAAACCTTTTTTTTTGTTTTGGTAAATAGAAGTTAACAAACGGCCCGTGTTTCCTAAAAAGTGAGTTGTTTTCATAAAACTTACCCCAAAAAAATTTGCCCAACAAATTGTCTGTTTTTCAAAAAAGAAAAACAGAAAGCAGAAAACGATAACACAGTGACTGTGAGCTCCCTGCTAAAAATACGTACTTGGCCCTTGTTGGGACCTACTGGTTAGAGAATCAACCTTTGGCTTGACCCTATCTTTGGCCAATCAAGTGAAGATGATGTTTTGATTTCAAGGCTGAGTCTCATACAAATAAGATGTTGAGGACCCCCGATCCCCAACATTATCTTTATTTTATCCAAAACCCTAGTTGAATAAGAGCTCAAAAAGAGAATTACTGATGCATAAAAATCGAACATAACATTAATCCAACTAGTCTCAAATCTGCGTTTAGTATCTGATACCTTTCGCAACCTCAAAGAAATGAGCAACATTCTCTTCTGGTGTACCTACTATAATGCCATGACCAAGATTCAATATATGTTTACCTTTACCAGCTTTTCTCACAGTATCTTTTATACGACTAGTAATGAACTCTTTTGAACCAAAAAGAACACCTGGATCCACATTGCCCTGAACTGCCACATCAGGCCCCAACCTTCTCCGTCCTTCAGCCATATCAACCGTCCAGTCCAAGCTAACCACGTCAACGCCCGTCAATGGTAGCCTCTCAAGCAACCCCCCGGACCCACTTGCATAGAGGATTAGTGGAAGATTCGGATGTGTTTGCTTCACTGAATCCACGATTTGCTTCAAGTATGGAAGACTGAATTCCTCGAAATCAACTGGACTAAGCTCTGTAGCCCATGAATCGAAGATCTGAACCACTTGAGCTCCACTATCAGCTTGGTACTGAATGTATTTTGCCATGGAAGTTGCAAATTTCTGAAGTAGTGCATGAAGGACCTATGGGGGGGGCGGGGTTGAATAAAAAGGTTATTAGGAATTTGGTGTCACTAAGCAAAAGATGGACAAAACCAAACATTGTTTGCTTGATATGCAAGACATAAATAAACATTTATGTGAGATGCATACACCCTTCACTAGAGGGAATTCCTTAAAGCTGTGTTTGGATATTGGATTTGAGGAGGGAAAAGTGAATGAATTAGAAGCTTCTTCCCATTTCTTCCTACACAAATCCATGATCAGAACACAGTATAAAGCACATCAGATTTTCACTTTGATATTGAAAGAAACATGCACAAAGATCAAAAATCTAAATCGATACAAAGTAAGAACTTTTATTGTCAAAGCTGTTATACTTTTTACTTAATTTAGTTGGCATGACTGGTTAGGGCCTACCTTGTTAGCTGACCCTCAGGCTTCGATTACCAGAATAGGGAGACCAACCATAGGGAACTCATAGAAAGATACAGATATAGACATGATGGAAAAGCATTAGTTACTTTAAAATAAATTATCTGGATGTACTAAAATACAGAATGATTTCGAACTGTCTTGTTCAGTTGTGCCCCAACTAAGTATTTCATACAAAAATGAGCATTACAATGCATTCAATGCCAAAAAATATCCATGATCAGCTATAGCAAACCAAGCTATGAAAAGCAGGGAAAAATATAGAAGTAGAATTTCTGAGTGATTCAAGATTACAATAAATCTTATGTGCATGCATACGGTAGCATGAATTTATGACCCATTAACTTTGGTATGATCAAGCATCCTCCAAAACATTATCACCAAATACTTCAGGGTGTTACCTTGAAATTCAGTGGAATAGGTACAATATATCTTTCAGTATTTACTACTTTTTCTTTACATGGCTTTGGAAAGATCACTAAGTGGGATTCCAAGATGAACTGTGCAGAAAGAGTTTAATTTTAGTTCCTAACCAATAAGATTTGACTGAAAAGACCTAGATAACATGCCTGTGTGGGCTTCTATAGAATGTCTCTAAAATCTAGACACCAACCCTGCTGAGACAATTTCTTAAGTTGCATATACATTGGTATGCAATATTTTGTCGGATTTAGTACCAGGAAGATATCTAGAGCGAGATAGATTATTTATCCCAAAAAAAACAAAAGATATCTAGAGCGAGATAGTATGAGATTACCTTGGGTTGAGAGAAAGCTAGTCCCTTTATTTTTGTGAAGTGCTTTGACGAACCACCTTCAACCACATATGATGCCAGGGTGAAGGGAGCCCCAACAAAACCCAGTACGGCCGCTTCATTATTAACCTGACAAATAAAGATATGGGAGAACATTATAAATGTCTACTGTCGACTGAGGACCAATCAGTACTAAAACATTGTGACATTCCCCATCTATGAAAATAATATACAGAACAAGATAAACTGACAATGCCATATCCTGCTTGAAGAGAGATTCAGGCAAATGTTGAGAAAATGTTAAGAAGTTGGATACTTGGGTACTCCAAATAAATGTATGCCCAGGCACATGATTCTTAAGGGGAGAACTTTCGAGTTTTGATGTTCTGTGAAAGCAATTTAACATGGAATTAAACTACACTATTTTGAATTAGTCATATGCGAGGGATTTCAAAAAGAGTTCTACAGAAACATTGTTCATAGATCGATGATCATGAGAAAGATTGAGATCATTTCTTCTCAGGACTAAAGTTTCCTCCAACACAACTGGGTCAACTTCTATTGTTTTCTCCAGAATGTTGACCCAAAAGTTTGATCTATTAGTGGTGGTCCATGAATGTGCAGATATGATGGATTGAAAGTCCTTCCCCTCAAGAACCCCAAAAACAAATGTTTATTTACCACATGTTTTTGTCTTAGAAGTTCAGATGTCTTAATCATATTGCAGAAAGGCATACCTCTTTTCTCAAGATAGTTAATGCTTCCCCAACATACGGAACTGACTCCTCAGGAACGAATTCTCTCACTTGATCAACATCAACAGCTGTGCTCAGAGGATTGAATATAATAGGGCCCTTCCCTTTTACAATGTCAAAAGGTATATTCATCCCAGCAAGAGGGGTTAAAATGTCCGAGAACAATATGACCTGTCATAATGATCAATATGACCATCATTAGATAAGTGTGACAAGGAGGTGCATAAAAAGTCACAAGAAACAAGGCCAAATTCAAGTGAACTTGGATTTTGGTTACTTTACCACCCTAGACTTTGGAAATGGTGTTTCTATGAATAAGCATTATGATCAATAATGCAAAGGAAGTTTGGCAAGCACATTTACAATATGAAGTCGCGAAACACCGAATTCAAATAGTAAGTTATAGCAAGGCATCTTACCCCATCAGGCTTAAAAACTTTCCAAGGCTGTAGAGAAATTTCCACTACAAGATCAACATTTTCTGATCTTTCACGAAAAGAAGGATGCTTCTCACAGATGATTTGATAACTCTATCATGAAAAATGCTCAAAAAGTGAGATCCTTTAACTTCAGTTAATTTAAGCATTTTTATAAGATAAGAACCACCATACAAAACAACATACGTAAGGCAAACCCTCTGTTTAGGCAAAAGAAAATAAAGTTATTAAAAAAATAAATAAATAAATAAAATTATATTAAAACTTCTCAATAGCTGATCAAGTATGCCACACAATGCTTGGGACTAAGGAATTGATGCGTAGAAAAGTTCCAGGCAACAACTTTTAAACATGCACAATGATCAACTCCCTTGAGGTCAGTAGATCAATTTAGTTTTATTTACTCTAAAATGCTTTACAAAAGGTTGTCATTCTTTGCAGTATATGGAGTTTGACTCTCTCTCACATATGCATGGTCCACACTTAGGTGGAAAAGATAAGGCTCCTACGAGTTAGAAAAGCAAAGACAATGAATTATTAAGGGAAAAACAAAAAAAAAAGCCACTTATCTTAAGCAAGGGCTCGACTGGTGAAACATGTTAGGTTTTTCAATTATGATGTATTGTTGTCTTTAATCCAAAATCCTAAACAAAATGGAAATTCAACCGATCCAGTTTCACATGAATAGCTGGCCAATACAAGTCAAATTACAATCTGCAGTAAATATTCCGTACAACGTGTTTTTTCACTAAAAGAGGACACAACTGTAAATCAATTTGACAAACAAACAGCAAATATGAGCAAAAGAGGAATTGCAAAAACAGAAAAAATAAAAATGGCTCCTTTTATTGATAAACTACGAACTAAACCTGCCTTCATGTACCTCCCTGCTTGTCTCATAAGCCAAACTGGGGGTCTTTCTACTTCCAGCCCTCGAACAGCATTAAGCAACATGGGTTCAGTTGCATTGACTACTTTTGGTTCTGCAACAGTCCCTGGATGGTATATTCAAGCATGAGAGTAAACTCTTATCAATGCTGAGCTTATATAGTAAAGGGGATAGCCTCATAAAAATTAAAAGGAATAGCTGAGATACCCACAAAATATCAAAAACCATAAGAAATACAGTAAATTACACTGATCTCCCCTGAGGTTTGGAGAAAATAAAGCAAGCCCGATAGATTGGACATAATTATAGGCTCCCTTAAGGTTTTAATTCACATAGCACTTGGCCCCTTTTTCATTAATAATCCGTTTGTCATATGAGTGAAAACTTGATGTTGTCATCTCTTTTACATTAAAATGTATATTTTTCGATGTTTATCATTATGTCTTCATACTATTTGTATTAGTTTTGGTCGCTTTAGTCTTACTAAAAGGGAGGTCAATGTAAAATTGTGGGGCTACTTGTATTTTCTAGAAATTTCAAGGGAGGTCAATGTAATTTACCCTAAGAATATGATCATTTAAGGAATAGCTGGTGAAAACTGAAGACTGAAGTAATCATTATGTACACGTCACCCCACAAGTGTAATGGAAAATGATGTATTTAAATAAGACATCCGGGTTATATCAGTTCATTTTAAATCTAATTAGTTGAATGTATTTCATTGTTAGTATAACATCTATTGTTGTGACAATACATATGTCACATAAATGCACATTCTGTTGGAATTCATTTCTTCACCTTTCCTCTACCAAAATCATGTTTTGGATACTGGTCAGATTGACAACAGTAATAGGTACACTTGAATAATGAAGCAGCAAATGTGATTCAATATTATGGATACGGATCTTCTGCCATGATTTTCTTGCAATGATCGTGTTGTGCTTTTTACCACAACAAGACAAGTACACAATTTAATAGCTTGAGTTTAAAACTCATGTAAAATGACATCATATTTTTTAAACCACACCCAAATATGATATTGTTTTGGTTAAACTGTAACACTATGTTTGGATATTTATAAGAGAAAAGAAAAGAAATGATTTGTTAGGTTAGCATAGAAAAGAAAAGATAGTGATTTTTCTCCAATCTTGTTTAAATAGACTACATAAAAGAAAAGAAAAGAAAAGAAAAGAAACTCTTACAGGTTATATTTAAGAAGCACAGACACTTCCAAGAAGGTGACGTATCTGTGTCGGACTCCGATACTTGTTGGACACTTCCCAACACGTGCCCGACACTCCTCAAAACGTGTCATATCTTTTAAAAAGTTCTTTAGATTCAGACACACTTCAGACACTCGTGTCCATTACTTAAACACGCGTATCCATCAATTAGACACGTGTAAAACTAATTATAAGTTTAAATTAAATAATTTAGGATTAGGATACAATAATAAAAGAAAAAACATTGTAAATTTATAAAGTGTTATATTTATTTATTTATTATTATTTTTGAATGATATATTCATATATATGACATATAATAAATACATAAAATTATATATTTGGTGCATATTCTCCACGTGTCGTATCCTACATTTTTTGAAAAATAATGTGCCTGTGTCCGTGTCATGCCGCGTGTTCGTGTCTATGCTTCTTAGGGTTATATTACCAAAATAAAACTTCTATATTTTATTTCTTTTGTAGGTGGATGAACAATTTTGGTATCGTAAAAAATTAATAATCTTCCCCTTTCTTTTCTCTCCCACTCTCTCCAATTTTGGATAGATTCAAAAAGTGGGTTATAATTTCTCACCATTTCTTTCCATTTCTCTATTGTTTAGTAATCCAAACAAGTGATTAGGAACAAAAGAAATTGTACTTCCTTTTCTCTCCAAATCACTCAATCCAAACGAGGTGTAAACATGAACTGTTGAATTACCAACAGAGAGGAAAGTGGCTTCAGGAAACAGTCAAATATGTAAAAAAAAACACTCAGATTAATTCCCAAATCCCATTGTGATTTCGATTGCAGCAAACAAAATACATGTAAACAGAAACACTCATACAAATGCTTCATTCAACATCGTCTATCGACATAAACCGCACAGTTAAGATCCAGTCAAAACCCAAGTTAATTAAAAAAAAAAAGATAAGGATTACAACAATTGCCTCAATTAAAGATTCAAATTACATATATATATATATATGATTAACACGCGAGAAGGGAGGGAAAGGGAAATGAAATACCTCCAAGGGCACAGTGGATTCTGGGTTTGTCGGAGTTTTGGGGAACAGAAGCGAATGTTGAGTTGGGAGAGACGGATATGAAAGAGGAAGAAGAGATTGAGCTGAGAAAGCAAGACATGTTGGAGTGGTTCTAAAGCTCTTCTACTCTGAGATTTGCTTGCATTTCTCTCCAAAAAAATCTGTCAAATCTCTTCCCTTGTAAAATGTATGTGGCGGAGGAGGTTGCCTTTTTCTGGGAAAGGAATGGGGATAGATAGACGTAGGGACAAACAGATAAAAGGAAGATAAGAGAGGCCAAGTTTGTAATTCACTTTTATCTCTTCTATAATTTCATATAGAGGGCTGCTATTTGGTTCTATTTCCACACACTTAAAGTCTCGTTTGGGAACAAGTATTTTTAACAATTTTTTAGCTTTTTAAATAAAATATGATGTAAAAAAATTAGTATGTTTGGGATAATTTTTTGACTTTTTATGAAAACATCTGTAAAAAAATAGAGAAAAAATAGAATCTTTGACTTTTTGGTATAAGTTGTTGGCTTTTTGATTTTTTTTAGTAACTTTTTTGACTTTTTGGCTAAAAAAGTCACTTGCCAAACGAGGCCTTATTTCAGTATATATCTTCTCTCAATACATATATTTATTAACTTGATTATTAATTAAGTTTTTCAATCCACATATTAGAGGTTACAATTATATCCTTCACTCATAATCATTGTACACAAACCACTTAACTCTCATTTTTACATGCTTGTTGAGTGACCCTACTTCGAGATTTGCAGACCCATTGTAGGCCCACGTGAAGACCATTGAAGACCTTATTGAACCTCCATTGAAAACCCTTCAAAATATTGTTGAAGATAAGACATATTTCCATTTTATTATTGCATTTATTATTTTCAGATCTCTGTACACTCCATTGCCATAAAACCCTCATTTTTTTTATTTAATTTTTTTTTATGTTTTTCGGTTTGGAAATTTCGGCATTGGTTTTCCGAAATTATACATTGAATTCGAAACTTAACTTCCGAATAAAAGTGATTAGTTCGACAAATTTGTTCCAAAAAAACTTTTGACAGTTGATATCCAAATATAATGAAATAATTCGGCACTGGTTGTCAAACTGAAAACCGCGAAAAGAAAAAAAGAAGTTTTACACAAAAAAATTAACATTTTCATCATTAATAAAGTATAAATCTAGAGATTAAAGCAATATGAGAGTTGTTATGAAAGTATTGTTTTAGTATAAAGTGTGTAACAAACAAAGTAACTACAATGAAAAAATTAGAGTTTAGTTTTTTTTTACTCAAAATATGTATATTAAGATTTTTTTTGTTTTTAAAATATATGTACAAAGAATATTTTCATATAATATTATGGATGCTAGTGTATGCTCATTATAGTCATTTTAGTTTAAGGTATAATTGTCATTAAAATAATATTTCATTAAGTGTATGCATTGAGGTAATTAGGTGTGTGCAAATATAATTTCCCCTATTATTTGCCCCACCTTTTTATTTTGGCCCCCCTACTTCTTTGAACCCCTACCTAGCAAAATAAAGCCCTTTGAACCTTCACCTTAATATCAACTATACCCCTAATCCCAAACCCTAACCCTAATTACATCCCCACTAACACCGGTCAACCCAACATCGGCGTCAGCATCTCTCGAAGTGCCAGTCTCATATGGCACCATCTTTCCCCCACTTCACTTCTACAACTCCAACCAGTTAGCATCACCATTTCATTTTTGGAACTCTATCATTCTCCCATTCCCATCCTCATCCTTATCTTCTTCTTCTTCTTCTTCTTTTTCTTTTCCTAAAATCCTAACAGTCGAACAAATCCTTTATGTTCAGCAATGTATTACCGAACCAAAAGGATTCATTTAGCACTGTGCTGCCAAACCCACTCCACTATCATGACCACCCCATCTATCGCAAGAGAGAGCGAACGAGAGAGAAAGAAATGAAAACCTAGGGTTTTCAAAAGAAGAAGGGGAAGAAGAAACGGCGACAAATCTCATGATTGGTAGGTGCCCTTAGCTCTGGAGATCAAACCCAAAGCCAAACCAAAACCCACAACCTCTTCTCTTCCACTACGCTACTCTATCATCATCGTTGAAGCCGAACCAAAACTCCCTCTCTCACTCTCTCTCTCACACATATTGCCAATGATAGTGGGTTGTGGAGTTAGGGTTTGAAGAGAAAGGGTAGAGAAGAGACATTAGAAAAAGAAGGAGACAGGTCAAAGGTGGTGGTGAAAGAGGTGTGGTGACGGCCAGAGGTGGTGGTGACTCCCGGAGGTGATGGGGATGGGATTAGAATTAGGGTCAAGGTTTGGGAAATTAGGGTTAGAAGATTAGATGAGGATAAAAATGAAGTTTTAGGTTGGAATAAAATTAAAATAAAAAGAATGAAGGGGGTGGCGGTTCTAAAAAGAAAGGTAAGGGTTAATAGCAATGCTCTTCATATATGAAAATGTTTGAGACTCTCAAAAAGTACTCACAATTCTACTCACAATAATGTAATAGGATATGTGTCAACTTTTGATTTGTTATGGACTTAATGATGGTGAGTCCAACTCTCATGTCACGTCACTATGGGTGAATTTGTAGATATAAATGTGTAGATCTATAACATTATATATTACGATTAATTATAAAATTCGTATGAATATTCTCATTCTCAAGATGGTCTGAATGGGTAAAAGTAATACAAAATATGATCGAGGGAATCAAAATTTATGAGTTTATAGATGAGGATGTAGAATCATATTCACTAATAATTGAGAAGATTATAGTGTAATTGGCCTAAAAAGAATAATGTTTATTGGTGGAGCTATGACAATTGTCCTTGTGGATAGGGAAGGAAGAGAGAGCGTCACCCAAATTATCATAAATAAAAAGAGGAATCCATTCACTCTTTTCTAATGGAGTTCCGTACCAGGACTCGACCCATATCTCAAGGAAAAAGTTGAACCCGTGGGTTCAATGCTCAATCAATTTCAAAAACATATTCTGGAGGGGACCTCATGTCCTAGGAGCAATCCAAATTCTATGACCAAGTTTACTAAATGCTAATAGCATTTGTAAACCCCTTATATGGGATACCATTATATAATCTAGAACGATTGTTCTAGGTCTCTTTAGGAAAATGTCTCGTAACTCAAATTTTGTGGCTCAAAAGTGGCTCAAATGGTCGTTTTGGCCATTTTTATGTTGTTCTGTACTCAAAACGACGTCGTTTTGGCCATTTGAGCCACTTTTGAGTCACAAAATTTGAGTTACGTAACATTGTCGGCCTCTTTAATGTTTTACAGGACATTTACTTTTGTAGTAATGATGTTAATAATTGAGAAGGTTATAGTGTAATTGGCTGTTAGAATTTGTCTCACATTTTCTGGAGTTGTTCCATCTGTATTAGTTATAAGGCTCCAGTTTTTCTCTCTTTAATACCTGGATTTTAAGGAGAAGTGTGGGTCGGACTTTTCAACTTGGTATCAGAGCTTAATTGTTTCTATGATTGGTGTGCCGTTTGTCTGGCTACTATATATTGTGGTCCCGGAGGGTGTGTTAGAATGTGTCTCACAACGCCTGAAATTGTTCCATCTGTGCTAATTATAAGGCTCTAGTTTCCCTCTCTTTAATACCCGAGTTTTAAAGAAAAGTGTGGATTAAGCTTTTCAACTTAAAAGAATAATGTTTATTGGTGATAAGTCAATGTCTGCAAGGATGTGACATTAATTTTAAGAATTAATCTTTTTATGTAGATAAGAATATGATTAATAAAATTATTAGATGAAAAAGGCAAATCAATGTTTTGAAGGAATCTTTTTTTCATTTTTATCCCACTATTACTAGTTATTAACGGACCAACTTCAAACCACCATTGGCACTGAAGAAGTTGTCAATGGTGGGCGGCAGCAACAACCAATAGTAGTGGTGATATAGATAAATAGACAAATTAAATGGACAGATAAATGATACTTGAACAAATAGGTTGATAGTGAACAAATAAATCATGGTAATATGATCTGTTTAAATTATTTTATTCTTTTAGTCCTAAAAGAATAGATCTTGGGATCCCCAAAATTTTGAATTTATACTTATGATCCAAGTGTAAAAAACTTAGAATTTAGAATTTAGACTTATCATACAAAGTGTAAAAATAAGATATAACATATGCATCTCTCTTTTCAATCATTGAATTTTAAAATAAATTGGATCACATTGTATTTTAATCAACATTATTTTAATTCATAAACAAAAATTTATATTGTTGCATGACTAAAAAACTAAATATTAAATGTGTTTATATTGGTGTCCATGTATGTATAAAGTCAAATTTGAGATTTAAAAATTATGTCCCGGTGCGGATGGATGTATAATGATAAATTTGAGGTTTGAAAATTATTTAAAATTGAAATAATTTATAATGTTGAATTTATTATAAAGATATTTGTATAATTTACTAAAAAAAATTATACAAAAACAAAATATAGAGCGGCCTGAGGAACCGGTGAAAGGGATTAAAAACACATTTTCAAAAAAATGAAAAAACACAAATTCTCTTGAACCAAACTAATTGGCAGTTTTGAAAACTGTTACCTTTTTTGTCTGAAAACAAAAACAGATGTTAATTATGTTTTCATTTTGAGTTTTTTAAAACAAAAACATGGCCAAACATAACCTAAACTTCTTTCACTTCATTCTCCCCAAAATCCAAGACCAGAACATTGCAGTAGTATCGTAAGAGTTAGCACGGTTACAAAAAAAATAAATAAATAAAAATGCAAAGGGATTGTTATTTGTAATTTATGCCTTTTGCTACGATATAATTTACATGTATTGGCATTCTGATACATGCTAAACAATTTTGTATTCATCTAATGTTACTTTTGAGTTCCATACATTAGGCAAAACTGATAAGAACATATATCTGAAAGAAAAAAAAAGAAAAAAAAAGGGAAGAAGAAGAGGGGGGAGAGAGATAGAGAGAGAGAATCAGCTGACTAATTACAAGGAGATATTTGAGTGAAGGGGTTGGAACTGGATCATCAGAAAATGGTATCGATGGTAAGCTTCCTTCTCTGTGGAGTTTTCTCTATTATCTGCTTTTGCAGGTCCATGAAATTGCAACCCTTGTGAGCGAATAACCTCCGGAGGTTGATCACAGAGAGCTCATTAAAGCTGGCAACCGCTAGATCAGCTTGTCCAAGATCATACCTGCATGTTTCAACTTTCTATATCAGTCACCGAATACAAACTGTGAAAATTAGGTCCATAGAAGAACAACCGGAGTAACATGTATCAAAATTTCCATTTTGTTTTCCATAGCATCTGATTTTGAAAAAATACTTTTCACCAGACATTGACAAATAACTAAATGTTAAAATACATACGCTGGGTGAGCACCGATCAATGCTATAGCCATCATTGTACAGTTGTGAGCAGCTGTGACGCCCCTAGGGTTGTCCTCAAACACAACACACTTGGATGGTTTCCTGTCCAACTGCATGAAATTTCTTAAAATAGTTCAAAAGGCGCAATCAAATGTTAAACTCAATTTTTGGCATGCTCTGTAATTTTGATAACATCGTTTTTCAAGAATTTTTAGCATAACCAAGGATATACACATTTAAAATGAAGTTGAAAGTTGATTTGTTTCCCTTCAAGTGAAATCAAGTGTCAGAATATTTACAGGCTGGACTTGTTTCTTTTTTTTTAATAACAATTTTAATGACATTTGTTGTAGAGTGTATATATATGACATGTTATTAACAATACCTTCATCGCTGCCGAAAGAAATCGATGAGCTATGGACTCCATGCCATCTTCCTCCGACACAATTGCCTGCAACTCCAAAAAGAGGGTCAGTTGGCTACAATAATCTGCATGTAGACCTCTCTAAGGTGTGTTTGATTAGAGTTAAAAATATGATGGTAAGTGAAAATGATAAATGTGAAGTGAAAGACCAAAAGCGAAAGGAAATTTTATGGGTGAATTACCCTAACAATCCTTGTGGTTTGAAATTTGAGTCACTTTAATTCCTGACTTTTTAATTGTAATATGATATATTTAACCTTAAATTTTGAATCTTATTCCAAATAAAGACAATCAAATATATTTCCTTTGCAAACAGTCTATTTCAAAAGCAAAGTCGTCATACAACTTATTTTGTGTTACTTAACTTGTACGTTGTTTGAAATGTAAAGGCCTTTTTTTAATGAATAATACTAAAACTTTCTTGATTATAAAATTCTATTTTGTTTGGTTTGTCAAAATCTATTTCTAGAAAAAATTTCTAAGAAATTAAAAATTAAATTGGTAAAAAAATTTAAAAACACATCATTTTTATATAATTTTATCTTTTGGGAGGGTAGAAATAATTTTTTTAAATAATTTTTTTTATATTTATTTCCGTTAAATTAGGTTCTATTTTTTCAAGAGTCAAACATGGCGACAACTTTGTTGTCATTATTAAACCAATACATTAAATTAAAAAATTCAAAACTAAAAATATTTCATATATTAAACGTATTGATTATACATTAAAAACTTAATAACCATCCATTATATGATAATCATCCAAAAATATTCATTAACAACAAATACAACCATCTATTACATAATAAATATCAAAAAACATCAACAAAAATAATCACCCATTATATGATCATCATCCAAACACATACTAAAAATTAATTTGGTCAAAAAAAGAAAGATGTAAAAGATTTATTATTTTTATTTAATTATATCTATGATGGGCAGAAATAATTTTTAAAAATTCAAAAATAATTTTTTGACATTTATTTTTATCAAACTATTTTATATTTTATCAAATTGATGACTTTGCCCTTAAAATAGAACAATGGTATCTTCAATTGTTCTTATTTATAACGAAATTCAAAATTGAGGGTCAAATATTGATGTAGGCCGAAAGGTACCCACATTGAGGCCACTTAAGTTATATTTTTAATCCTTCAATATTATTTATTTGGTGGAGATGATGTGTTTTGTGCACTTGTACAGATTTGGCAGGTAACACGCAAATTCAATCAAAAAGGGCAAGAAAGCAAATTCTCCGTGCGAGGAATGAAAAAGCCCGGCCCGCCACCTCACCGCACGTGCGGCCAAGCCACACCACACGTGTGGCCCATCACCGCTCGAGCGACCCACATGGGCGCTCGAGCGGCCCACCTAGGGTTGCGTGCATGAAATTTTCAGTCTATTCTGCTAGGAATAAAAGGAAGGAAAAGGGGCTATAAAAGGGTACAAAAATTATTCTAAGGAAAAGGAAACTAGGGTTTAGAGAAGGTGATTTTCCTCAAGCTTCAAGGAGAACTTTTCATGGAGGCTTCTTCCTCTTCCATCTCTTCCCACTCCTCCATGAGTGGCTAAGCTCTTCTTTTCTAGGGTTTTGATGAAACCCTAGCCATGTAAATAGGTTTCTTTTTTGTTTTCTTTTATATAATGGTTTGAACAATTGTGTGGTTCTCAAGAAGTTTCCTAATATAACTTTCCATTATTTCTTCGAGTATTCTGCTTTCTGTGATTGTTAAATGCTTTCCATAGAATAGTTTTCTACTCTTTCATGTTCAAGGTATGAAACGAGCCACACTACGAGAGACGAGTCATGTTGCTACCCTAGTTTAGAGCGAACGACTCGTACTACTTGAGATGGTTCATGCCTATACATTGAACGTGTTAATTTTCTTGATAAATGCTTCGAGTTTGTAGTTGCGAAGTATTTTTTAGTTCAAACCGTAACATAATTGAATCTGAAATTGAAGCCTTATTCATGTAACTAGTGGTGGACTCATTACTCTAGGTTTTTCCCAAATATCAATAATTCTAATTTTATTTATAATTGCTAGTTTAATCACTTTGTTTAATTTAATTATTATTAGTTTATGAATCCCTCAATCCTTTTATCAAAATTAATTTAGGAATTTAACAATTAAATAATTTAATTTCCCATTTGTCCTTGTGAATCGATACCTGGACTTACCATTATTCTAACGAATTGGGTACAGTTTAGTGTTTAATTTTGGTGTGTGAAACGACCCATCAAATTTTGGCGCCATTGCCGGGGGACTTCTAGCGAAATTAGTTAATTTAAAGTTATATTCTTATTTTAATTTTTAGTTTAGGATTTTATATTTTAGTGTTGCTAAGTGTGCATAGTGTTTACAATTAAAGTCATCACCGAAGTGCAAGCAGAGCGCAACTGAGCTTTAAAAACAAACCGCAGCACCAAAGTGCTTTAAAAAAAAATAATACAAAAGCAAATACTCACAAGCAAAGCACCAAAGTACTAAAATTAGAGAGCTCAAGTGGAAATTGGGGATAACGTCTACACATCAAGCACCCGCAAGACAAGTAAAACGTTTTCGTTAAGTTGCTGTGAGTATTCTCTTCTTCAGTATTTTGTTTTCATAACTTAGTGCACAGAGTCGGAACTTAGTGTGTGCGTGTGCGTGTGTGTGTGTGTGAGTAGTGTATGCACGGGCACCATTCTTGTCGCCTTGAATTGTGAAATTTGGACCTTGAACTAGAAAAGACTCTTAGGAAACTTAGAGCCTCTTCCCGTGTTCCTAGGCTTGAATACCCTTACCCATACTTCGAACCAATAGAGATGAAAACCCGAATGGCCTAAATGGGCCCAACCGTTCAGGATTACTTCACACCCACTGCATATACATCACCATCATGCATCCAGTTACCCAACACCACTGCTGCTCATTATGAGATTAAGTCCAGCACCATCCAAATATTTCCATCATTTCATGGACTAGCTCATGATGACCCTTACAAACATCTGAATGAATTTCTGGAAATTTGCTCTACAGTGAGGATCCAGAATTTCACCAATGAGACCCTAATGTTGCGTTTATTTCCATTTTCATTAAAGGACAAAGCCAAACAGTGGCTGAACTCCTTACCTGCTAATTCAATCACAACTTGGGGCGAATTACAGCATAAGTTTTTGGAGAAGTACTTTCCCATTGGTAAGACCAACTAACTCAGGCGAATCATCACCAATTTTGCTCAAATTAATGGCGAGCAATTTCATGAGACATGGGAGACTTCGTGACCTTCTCCAACAGTATTCCTACCACCAAGTGCCTGATTGGCAACTTATGCAGACCTTTTACTATGGCTTAACTGAGCCTCACCGTCAAATGGTGAATTCTTCTTATGGTGGAACATTCATGTCCAAAAATGACGCCGAGGCATGGCAATTATTTGAAAACTTAAGTGATAATTCCCTTCACCATCCCTCCGCAGCTCAACAAGTCCAGCAACCAGTAGTTGGAGCCTTGAAAAGAGGGGGCATTTATGAGGTAGGGCAAAACCTAGAGTTAGCCCAACAAGTAGTGGCATTGTCCCAAAAAATAGACCAATTATTAGCTGCAGGACATGCCTCTACACAGTAAGATCAACTTCAATTTCACGAGGCATGTGCTATATGTGCGAGCCCTACACATGACTTGAGTGAGTGCCCTTTGGCATCACAATTCTCGGAATTAGTCCAAGAGCATGTGAATGTGGCTCAAGGTTTCTCCAACCCGGGTAATAACCCATATTCCAACACATACAATTCAAGATAGAGGAACCACCCTAACTTTTCATGGAGACCTCCTTCACAAGGCACATCTTACAACCCTCCACCACCAAGACAGAATTTTGATAATTTTGCCAACCAATCTTCTTACCGACCACCGCAACCTTACCGACAACCACAACCTCCGCTTGTTCCTCAAGGCAACTCTGCCTTTGAGACTCAGGTGTTGGAAGTTCTCTCAGAACTTTAAGGGATTGGCACCAGTAGTTCAATCTCATACTCACTCCATCACCAAGCTAGAGGCCCAATTAGGTCAAATGGCTAATAACAGGAATAGGAAAGAGGAGGAAAAATTACCTAGTCAGACTAAGGGTCAATATGAGGCAGAGGGGTCGGGTGGGAATGAAAAGCACCATGAGCAGGTGCAAGCGGTGATTACCTTGAGAAGAGGGAGGGAGTTAGAGCCTCGGCCAGTTGCGCCTGATGCAACTAGGGCTAAGAAGGGTGACCATGGTGGTACACCCAATGAGAGCAAGGGTGAGGTGGAAACGAGTAAGGGGGTTGACTTAGTCCCTAGCACTTCACATGAGCCTAAGGCGCCATATGTGCCTAAAGCACCCTTTCCCCAATGCCTTGATACACCGTCCCCTTTTAATAAAAAGGCGACATCCATGGAAGCGATGATGGAGGTCTTTAAACAGGTAAAAATCAACATCTCCCTATTGGAGGCGATTAAGCAAGTACCCTCCTATGCTAAATTTCTAAAAGACCTTTGTACGCAAAAACGTAAATCTAGGACACACGTGTTCCAAAAGGTCTTACTCACGGAGCAAGTAAGCTCCATTTTATTGAGTGACATACCCCTTAAACTTGAAGACCCGGGTGCCCCAACCATTGCAAGCATTATAGGGGATCATTTCATTGATAGGGCCTTGTTAGATTTAGGGGCTAGTGTCAATTTATTGCCCCAACCAGATGTTTTGTATCCTTAATGAAGTCAAGTTGCGCAACACCCGAGGCAGTTCTACATGAGCCTTCCCTTTCGCCAACCTCATCACTGCACTCATAAAAGGCCAAGGGACATACCCACTTGAACCCAATGAGATTCAGCTTCCGCCGCCAATGCTTTATTGTAAAACCCACTAGAGCCAAACCACTGCTCGCCTACCACCTCCACTACTCCCCGATGCCCTGACCAATCCTAATGATGTTCCGGTAGAGCCCGCCGCCACACCAGCCCCAGGATCACCGCTATTTCGTATGACGTGGGCGCAATATCAGGCTCTTTTGGATAATCAAACTTCTACTCAGCAATCTGTGGTTGATCTTCGAACAGAATATCAGGCCTATCGAGATCACTCGCAGATGGCCTTTGATGGGTATCAGCAGTCAGTTACATCTCTGCGATCTAACTTCTACGCATACCGGGAGTCGAGCGAGCAGCGATTTGATCAGCTTGGTGCTTGGGTTCATGATGAGGCACGCAAGACTCGGACGCTGATGCATATCCTATTTGAGCAGTATTTTCCACCACCACCGGCTCCAGATCAGTGATCTCTGTTTTATTTCTCTATTTATTTTTTGTTTTGTTTTATTTTATTTTTCTTTTCCTTTTATACTGAACAGTCAAAAACAAAAACAAAAACAAAAAAGAAAAGAAGAAAAAAAAAATGTGCGTGTGTTTGGTGTGTCCTTGCCTCACTGGATGTGCACCTACGCCGTCTGGTAAGATCCTCTCTCTCATTTTACTATCTACTTTTCAGTTGCTTACATTGAGGACAATGCCGTATTCTAGTTGGGGGGTGAGGATTTGTATAAAAACAATTCATATTTGTACTTACTACACTTGATTGCACCACTTCGCTTGATATTCACTTTGTGCCAATATGGTAGTGATATGAGCATATGTTAATTGGGGAACATAGTGGGCTTGTATGAAAAAGGATTATTGGGTAGATACTCACATGTGATGTTACACTAGGAGAGTTTTTTGTATTTGTGATATTAGTACACTTGTCATGAATATGCCTTGATTCACATGAACACACTTTCATAACAGTGATCTCTCTATTCTAATCCCCGGTGTACATCATTGATAGTTGCTAGGGTTGCAGAAAAGAATAAATGAGTAACCAAAACTCTTCAAAAAAAAAAAAAAAAACTTGACTTGTTTGGATTCGTAGCCTCTTTAACTCGAGTTATTAAGCCCGTAAGGGTGTTTGGGAGTCCTTGGCCCAATGCTTGTTACATGGGTTAATTAGAAAGTTTAAGAGACTTAGACATTGCATAGTTAAGGAAAAATAAGGAGAATGACTTGTTCGGATTTGTAACCTTTTCAGCTTGAGTTATTAAGCCCGTAGGCAAGGTTGTTAAAATCGAGATCCTGAGTAGGATCGGTGAGAGGGTCTGGTGGATCGAATCGTAGGATCGGATCGAGAATCGTAAATCGTAAGATTCTACTTTCTATTAAAAAAAAAGGATAAAAATTAAAATTAAAGTGATACATATTAAAAATAAGGTGAAAAATCATAAAATCTACGATCCTACTTGCGATCCTACCTACGATCCCATACGATCCTACATGATCCCATGTGATCCTACACGATCCTACTTGCGATCCTGTTATAATATCGATCCTACAACGATCTGGATCGTTTTGGCAAAGTAGGATCGTACGATCGTACGATCCTACGATCCGGATCGCGATTTTAACAACCATGCCCGTAGGGGTCTCTTCACACCTAGTGCCCTACAACCGTCTAGTTTGGGAGTCATTGGCCCAATGTTTGTTACATGGGTTAATTAGAAAGCTTAATGGATCAGAACATTACACCGTCTTTCAAAAAAAAAAAATTTGAGAATCTTGGTTGCAACAGTTTAGTTTTTTCTGTATATGTTTTGTGTTATTATGAGTTACACTAGGTTATTATAGTGGACAGTTAACTAATATGGAGATTGCACTTTACACCGAGGGTACTGATGATGTGTCTACTAGCATTCACAAGTACAGGGGACTTTACTTTTGTATTAACTGAATTATGGTATTGGCTCAACAGATTCCTTCATGCTCGTCCACTGTGACTTCAATGAATCATCATGTCTTAATATCACACTGTAGTGACGCATAAGTTGATTGTTAGGTGGAAGGGTGTGGTTAATTGTTGTCGAGCAGATGTGAATATGTTGATGTTTGTGAGTATCATTTCTGAAAACCCTTACGAGACTATACTCGTCCACTTGAGATAACCTTGTGATTTAAAGACTTGTTGCATATGCTAAATGCAATTGTGATCCCTACGAAAGTGACTTAGAGTTATTTTATTTTTCTTATTTCTTTTGTTTTGTTTGAGGACTAGCAAAATATAAGTTGGAGGATGTGATGTAGGCCGAAAGGTACCACATTGCGGCCACTTAAGTTATATTTTTAGTCTTTCAATATTGTTTATTTGGTGAAGATGATGTGTTTTGTACACTTGTACAGATTTGGCAGATAACATGCAAATTCAATCAAAAAGGGCGCGAAAACAGATTTTCCGTGCGAGGAACGAAAAAGCCCGGCCTGCCAACTCACTGTATGTGCAGCCCATCACCGCTCGAGCTGCCCACCTAGGGTTGTGTGCGTGAAATTTTCAATCTATTCTGCTGGGAATAAAAGGAAGAAAAAAAGGCAGTAAAACGGTTCGCAAATTATTCTAAGGAAAAGGAGGTTAGGGTTTAGAGAAGGTGATTTTCCTCAAGCTTCAAGGAGAACTTTTCATGGGGACTTCTTCCTCTTCCACCTCTTCCCACTCCTCCATGAGTGGCTAGGCTCTTCTTTTCTATGGTTTTGATGAAACTCTAGCCATGTAAATAGGTTTCTTTTTGGTTTTCTTTTATGTAATGGTTTGAACAATTGTGTGGTTCTCAAGAAGTTTCCTAATATAACTTTCCATTATTTCTTCGAGTATTTTGCTTTTTGTGATTGTTGAATGCTTTTCATACAATAGTTTTCTTCTCTTTCATGTTCAAGGTATGAGACGAGCCATACTACGAGAGACGAATCGTGTTGCAACCCTAGTTTATAGCGAACAACTCGTACTACTTTAGATGATTCGTGCCTATACATTGAACGTGTTAATTTTCTTGATAAATGCTTCGAGCTGATAGTTGCGAAGTATTCTTTAGTTCAAACCGTAACATAATTGAATCTCAAATTGAAGCCTTATTTATGTAACTAGTGATGGACTCATTACCCCAAGTTTTTCTCAAATATCAATAATTTCAATTTTATTTATAATTGCTAGTTTAATCACTTTGTTTAATTTAATAATTATTAGTTTATAAATCCCTCAATCTTTTTATCAAAATTAATTTAGGAATCTAACAATTAAATTAGTTTAATTTTCCATTTGTCCCTGTGGATCGATACCTGGATCTACCATTATTCTAAAGAATTTGGTACAATTTAATGTTTAATTTTGGTGTGTGAAACGACCCATCAAATATATTACAATTAAAGAGTCAATGACTAAAGTTAAACAAACCCTAAATTACAAGGACCGTTAGTATAATTCGCTCAAATTTTATTTTCTAATATGCATTTGATTAAAATGATTATTTTTAAAATAAAATTTAAAAGAGATGGCTACTATCATGAGAAAATAAAATTTTTTGTATTTTTGTAAGAAACTTGAAGCCAATCAACCAAGCTTTTCTAAATGTGTGAAATACCGTGTCGGACACTTGACTCTTGGGCAAGGATATGAAAAATGTGCCTGACATGACTAGATGACCATATACCCAACAAGCATGTCTAGTAATTGAGTTTACCATATAACAATGCATAAAGCTTGCATGTTGTGCATAAAATGTTCTTTGTTACTTTGTAAACACCATTTTACCTTATAAAAAAAAAAATAGTATTAAGAAATATGAACATCTCATCATGTGTGCCAGTGTCCTTGGACATAAGAACTAAAAGAATTTGACAATTACACACATACCATACCACACCCGACATTCATACTCAAGTCCACATGACATAGGGGTCAACCATTTGGTTAGACATTAGGTTGCGTTAGGAACTGCAATTGATACTGCTATTCTTGCAATTACATTGTTTTGAATGGTAGGGGACCAAAAAAGTACAAGCTTAATTGGCCATGTGTATGTGATGAGGTAGGGGAAGACAACTCCTAAAAAACCTAAAAAACAAGAAGAAAAAAAAAAATACCAACCTGGAAATACTTCTTGAGCCCCATTCGCTCCAAAGATTCAACCATATTTCTACGGTTGAGACTTGAAACGACAGCACAAGGGATGCGAGCAGTAGATACTGCATCCAGCCATTCTTCTAGTCCATCCATGGGTTCTGAAAGCTGAAGAAGAAGAAGAACATCATCATTAATTTTTGTCACATTTGAGCCGCAAACATAATCAACATAACATCCACATAATAATTCAGGACAAGCTCTCACTTTGAGAAGATTTTCATAATATAATTGTGAAAGCCTCGACTTCAATCTATCCAATTCACTTTCTTCTTTCTCCCAGTGCTGCAAAATCTGTAAATTCTGGACATGCCAGAGACATAATGGGCAAAAGGGACAGCAAACAAACAAACAATCATTGTTCTCATTAAGAACTTAGTGAGAAGAATATGAAGTAGCATCATAGAAGATCCTCTCCACAAGAAAGTAACTAGGAGCCAAAGATGGCAGAACTTCAGGTTCACATATTAGTTTTGCAGCATTTTTATCCCTTACCAAATTTGCTAACAAGTACACTATTCTTACTTCTTTCTCTTCTTCTTTTTTCTTAATGAAAATTAACAGTTAAGATTATAAATACAAAACTGTGAAGAAAATTATTTCCCTTAAAAGAACGGGAAAAAAAGGCATAGCAAACAACTCAACATGCATGATACAGACACCAAGGATTTCCTAGACTAAATATTTCCCTTGAAAGAACCAAAATTAAATGAGGAATCTACTTTCTCAAAAAGGAAAAATACAAAATCGCCCTAGCAAACAACTCAACATGCATGATACACACACCAAGAATTTCCTAGACTAACTGAAATACTTTAGTCATAACCCCCCTCCCCATAGGTGTCAAAATGTCAGCCTTGTAAAAACAAAATTAAAGAGCCACAGGAGTCAAACTTTAAGGATCTAGCAAAGTGATCATACGAACTGGAATACAATATTTGATACATTAAGAAGAAGAAAACTAGACCCTTGGACATGTTTGAAATCATTCTAGTACTATTGTTACTCGTATTCTTACTTCTCTATTTTGCCTATTAAAAATTTGGGTGCATGATTAGTATAATTATGCTTTTTTTTTTTCAGCAAACCACCCCTAGAACTTGTTCAAACATAAGTAATGATCATTTTTTTAATGAAGTTCTTCTCATTACCAGAAAAAAAAATGTAATGATCATTTGAGTAAGTTTAGTAGACAAAAGAAGCCCCATAACCACAGATTTATTTATTTATTTTCAAAAAAAAAATACAGAGAAGTATGAATAAGACATGTTGTTCGAGATCTTTCAGAGCTCTGTCATATGGCACCCTTGCAAGATTAGCATTACTACAATACTAAAAATATATTCAAAAAGAGTTTATAATGCTCCTTGAGTTGTTTGTTATCAAACAAACCAAAGATGCTGAAAGTTTCTATTGAAGCATTCTTTCTTAGATTTACTTCTCAAATTTGCAAAGATCACTGTTACTCATTCTTAATGGTGCAAAGTTGCAGAAACATAATATAAAAATCATTGTCCAACAATAGCCCCTATAACCCAACAGGAAACAGGTCATAAATTAGGTGTTTTCATTTATTTTTTGAAGACTTTCCAGCAATTGAACACATCATAAAGGCAATGAAAGCAAGCACAACACATTCACACCAAACTAAAAAAAGTGCATAAAATGTAAAAAGAAAAATAAACAAGTTCAGTCTCTCAAGAACTATTATATGCAGAACCAAATATAAAAAGTAAGAACCCAAAACTTGAAATGAATATGAATTCCCAAACCTTATGCAGAACATGATCAGCACCTGCATAAAGCAAGAGTCTTTGGGCATCACCATATTCAGGAATTTCCTTTCCTGCATGAGAATCAATAATAACCAAAATTTAAAAATACATATATATATAAAGCAGCCAAAACATTATGGTCATATATAACCTTTTCATAAATACACAATCTTTATGAACTAATAATGTATGAGATTATACTAGTGTAGACAATTTTTTTATCAGGGACGTCAACAAATGAATCTAAGCATATAATAAATATATTTTGCAGATCACGTTGCAAGGGGTATCAATTGGGACCAAATGCAAGACTCAAAAAAAAAAAAGGGATGAGGTTGCTAGACTGATGTTGTGGGCCTGTCACCAACGAGTTAATGATAGAATGAAACAAAGATAATGTGGGCTAACATTGGTAGGAAAGACATGAGTTCTATGCCTTAGGAATACCAATAGTCCTGCGTATACTGAAAAACAATTTGCATTGCTAACTCAAAATTAGTCCAAAAAAGGTTTGTGCAAGTTGAGTAGTTGATGAATGAATGATGAGGAACATTAAAAAAAACTGTGTATAGATTCATGTAAGCATGTGACAGCCCAAAAATGAATAAATAAATAAAATAAAATAAGTTTCAAGACAATCCATCACAAAGATTGTCACTGCCTTATTTGCCCATCAAGGATGCGCAAATACCGTATTTGAGTGTCATCAGAATACATACTTCAAAGGTTAAAAGAGACCAAATTTAAAAGAAAGACAGCAGTTTTGCCAAGTATTAGCATCTCCAATGGTTGAACCAAATGGCTTGCCAAAGCCAAAAAATGGCTAGACCTCACAAAAATACTCCTCCGATGGTGAGCCAAAACAATTGCCAAAAAATGGCAAAGCCAAACCTTTTGGCTCAAAGTTTGGCAAAGCCATTTTGTTCCAATATCAAATTTCTTACCAAAACTCAATTGTTTTTCACAACTTTCACAGATCAGAATTTTATAATATAAAAGATCCACAAATTAAAAAGAAGTCAATAATATTAAAAAAAATTAATTACAAACAATTTATCATCTCAAGACCTACAACTCCATAAGAGCACCATTCACATCATCTTTTGTTAGTAATTAACTTTAATTCACTCCATCTACCACTCCAATGGTTGGAAAATTTGAAAGTTGGTTGAATTTGACACTGGACTGTGCCAAAATGGCAAGTCACCATTGGAGTGGTATAGCCAAAAAATGGCTTTTTTGCATTTTAGCAAGCCAAAAAAAAAAACCTTTGGCAAAGTTATTTTGGCTTGGAGCATTGGAGTTGCTCAGAGTTTACACATCACTTCAGTTATAAGCTTTAAAGATATAAACTTCCAGAAGATGAAGGCATTTCACATGGAGAAAAAACATTACATACCCTCTTCGGAAGCAAGTTGTTTCCAAGCTTTCAACTTCAATGCTCGAGTATCTGCCTGAAACAAATTGCATACTAACATAATTGCTAAATCAATAATCGAATCGTGAATCAAAATTACCTTTTTTCCAAATCGCGAATCATAAAGATTCAGTCATAATTTCTAAACTACAGAGAAAATATATCTAAACATGTAACTATTAAAGATATATAATAATTATATATGATTAGATAAAATATAAAGATTGTTTTGAATGATAAGCACATGATCCAACAGGTAAGACCTAAGTACCTAATTTTTTGGCACGGGAACAAGAGTGGTAGAACGTCATTTATCAAAATAACTTGAGAGAGAGAGCACTCGGAGAGCATGCATATATACATACATTTATATATTATTTATATATTAAGGTTGTTAATTGATTTTTTTATAAAGTTAATTACCTAAAAGTCTTATTTACAAATGTTATGGTAACTCATGTCCTATTTAAAAAAATTTGAACCAATAACTCTTATTTAGTAAAACTAATAATATTATCATTTTTTCCCAATTTTAAAACTGAAAACATTATCAATTTTGCATAGTAATATTCCAGATAATTGTTTCACTAACTGATGAAAAAAAACAAAGCATGAGATTAAACGTTTTTGCACTTCTACTTATTGGTTTAATTCAATTATCCAATAAAATCGAGAAGATAATCATTTTTTTCAGTTTTAAAACTGATAACACTATCAGTTTTTTCATTTTTAAATTTTTTTTTTTTCAGTTTTGCACATCAATGTTCTATCATTATGCTCCTTTATAGACAAAAAAAATTTAGTTTTGCACAAAAAAATAATTCAATTTTTTCAAAAAAAAACATTTAGTTTTTTTTTTTTTTTTTGCACATAATTGTTTTTTAGTTTTTTCAATTTGAAAGTTGATGTTTTAAAGTTTTGAAAATCAAAATAAATGTCAAATCATCATGTTACTTTATATATAATCATAAATAATAAACAATCATTATTTGAAGGGCAATTTCGACTATTAAAAATTTAATGGGAATTGAAAGTCCAAAATTTTTTAATTAAGACTTGATGAAGTATAAGTTCATAAATTAGAACTGGTGTGCAAATACTCCTTTTTTATACTACAAAAAAATAAATAAATAAATAGGGTTCATTTTATGAGTTTATACTTTAGGTTGGTCCTAAGATATAGTACTTAATTTCCAAAAGTGGATGAAATGTAACAGAATGTCTGAATTTAATCAATTTGGATAATTCGAGGGCTTATTTGAATGAAAATTTAGTTTAGGAGTGCAAAGTTTAAAGTCTTCTGGCATAATTTACTCCTTTTTTGAAGAGTAATGTCAGACAAACTAACAAATCTCACTAACTTTTCTCACTCAATTGACTTGTTCCTATCACATTATTCTAGTGGGTCCCATTTCAAATACTAAAGTTTTATTATTGCATGCCACATCTGTGAGTAGAAAAGTAATAAGATTTGTCACTTGTTACTTTGTATAGTATTTTCCATTTTAAAATAACTTTTAGCCTTTTATGGATCAATCCTTGAATGAAAAATATTAAGACGAATTACGTCTAAGAGAATAACAAACATTGAAACACAAAGACATTACACACTACTATAAGAGAATAACAAACATTGAAACACAAAGACATTACACACTACTATTGTCGGTCTAGACGTAAGCAAGTTTAGGTTGCATCTTTTGGCATTCTTTTCCGTCCCCAACCATTTTGACTTCTTACAAGCTTAACTGTGTTGAGGTGGAAAAGTTGGGCTACCATGTATCTTATGCACCATAAAGAGTACACATGGCAATTTATTACTAGTTAAAAGTTCAATCCATTTCTAATCCATAAATTTGACCCCTTTTTTTCTCTAAATTGCCAAGTCACCAGAATTAGGTTACTAAGGGCACGCTCATAACAAGATATGGATCCGAGCCTCGTCGTGATCTATGATCTTATAATAAAGAGTAATGCTACACAAACGGATTTCTCACAATAATTTTTTACCATCGGACACAAAGTTAATGGGTCCACATTAATAAAATTAGGTAACAAATTTATTTATGGATAGCATTTTCCAATATTAAATTATTGATTATGCTATGGTATATGGCAATCATAGTTGTCAAATCGGGATTCGTATCGTGAATCGAAATAGTCTCGTACCGAATCGTGAATCGAATCGAATCGTGAATCGTAAAGATTCGGTCACTTTTTCTAAATCACTTAAAAACATATATCTACACATTTAGATGTTAAATGTATCTTATAAATATAAAATATTTAGACTTAAATCAACAAAAATGTTATTTTGAATGATAATCACGTAATTTAATAGGTAAGAAGTTAACAAAGGTTCCTATGTAAAATCACCATCTTACCTTTTTTTTTTCTCTTTTTTTTAAGATATTTTTTATCAACCATTCTTAATAAAGGTAATAACCAAATAGAAACTATTAATTTCTAAAGTAACAATAATTAACAACGATATTGATATTTGGACAATAAGCATATATACTTTTCTAAGTAAGAGTGAGCAAATAATAAGTAAGAATTATTTAGGATATTTTATTTTAAAGCTTAAAATATTTTAACAGGTATAACTGACCTCACACATGTAGTATTCAATTTAATAAAATAGTAATAGATAATTCATAGTGTAACTCTAATCTTAAACATCTTTAGAAGATATATTACAATTTTTTGAAGAGGACAAAAATGAGAAGAAAGGTTAAAAATATGTTAGGTCTGACTGAATCTGATTGAATCTTATAAAAAACTCCATGATCACTAAAATAATAACAAATCATATATATATGTTGGTTATTTTGATATTAAATACTATTAGAAGTTGTATTATGTCATTTTCACTAAAAAGATGGAAAAAATGAGTCGAAAATATGTCGAACACAATAATTTCAAAAATTGCATGAATCGTAAAAAGTGAATCGAATCGTGAATCGATTGTGAATCGTGCGATTCACTAGAGATTCACTTCCAAAATAGATTCACTCATAGATTCGTATCGATTTTGCAAAAATTGCGTATCGAATCGTGAATCGAATCGTGAATCGTAAGATTCTGATAACAGAGATGGCAATATATACATAAAAAATACACAATTATAAATTAGGAAAACAAAAATCCAAAATCCATCAAATGTATCCATTGTCCCCTTCCTTTTAGGCCCACATTTGTTTTCCAAATCATTGAAGATCAGCAACATCATTGTTGTGTCTTTCTCCCAATATTGTTAAAAAAAGCTTCTTAACATCTTTAGTAACTTGATTATATAGGGCAATATGGTCATGAGTTTGCGCCAAGTGATTCCTCATACAAATTACCCCAACTTAATAATCCTTCCCACACAATAATTGCATTTCAAATGCATTTTATTATTCTCACTAACACATGTACAATATTTCAATGAAGGGCCACTATCTTTCATTTTCCCTTTTCACTTTTTCTTATCAACCATGAAGTGTCCAAGAAATACTAACTCCCAAATTTGAAGTAACAGTAAGTCAATAATAAAATTTTTACAAGTCAAGTAATTCAGACACACTTCTAAGGGATCAAAATACCCAAATCACCAAACTTTTTCAAACTTCATACTTGACGCCTCCAAAAGATTCCTTTTCAAGTAAAAACACGTGGATGAAGTCAAATATGTAAACAAAAATCTTGCAAAAAGAAAAAATGGGAAAGGATGTAATAGAATAACCCTAAACATCTTCAAAGGGTTATACTGCTGTAGAGACCCTTTTTTAGACCCCAAAAAAAGGCCCAACATGATCCAACCTCTTATCGAGTCAATTTGACAACTCTATCATTCAAGAATCGACCAATTCTTGTAATTCTTGATTTGATTCATCGATTCCTTCCCACTTCTGAGCATCTGCCTATACAATTACCAGTTTGAGTCAATTGATGAATCATATCAAATTGCATGATACATATCGAGCGATACGAACAACAGAGCAAACCAATTGTCATTGTTTTGTCAAGTGATACCCTATACATATACTGGGGACAATCATATCCTATTCTATAGACATTCCTACTTACAATACCATTATTCTTCTTTATTTTTATTTTTTTGATAAATACCGTTACTCTTTTTTATTGGTGTGGTAAAAGTAATGAGATCTTTCATTACCAATCGAACCCAAGTTCATTCTGATCCTCTTTTTCCTTTTAGGAGTACACCTACAATACCACAAGGGCTCCAACTTATCTTTCCAACATATGACAAAATATAACGGTTGTTCCTTTTTAATAATCATGTTTGGAAGAATATGAAGATTAGAAGAAATAAATCAATATGGGAGCTCTTTAGTCCATGATGAATCTCTTGTGTTCATATTTGAGGTGCAAACCTTAAGGTTTTACGAATGCACATTATGAGTATTTTATTTTATACACTTATTTTGAAAATCACAAGAACTATCCAAATGTGAACTTACAACATTTGACTAAGACAAAGACTCTGTATAGACAGTGTAGCCTCTAATTTGAAGATTGAAAAGACAAATTTGGATTTGTGAAATTGGAATCATGTTGATGGAGGAGGCAAAAAGAACTAAGAATATCTTCTAGATTCGACTTCATAGAAAGAAGCAAATTAAGTTTTTTTACAAAGTGGATATTCAAATGTGAGATTCATTTTCATGTTATGCTCAATGTTTTTAAAGGCAAAAGCGCAAGGCAAGGCAAGGCATTTTACCCTTGTTGAGGCAAGGCATAAGCCTTGAGGCGTAAGCCTTTTGAATTTTGAATTTTGAATTTTTGAATTTTTATAAAATACAACATTAATTAAATATAGCATAAAAAGAGTATAAAAAAAAAATAAGAATTAGAAAAGAAATTCATAAAAGCCATTCTAAGAATAAAACCAAAATTAATTAATAAATTCAAGTGTTGTAAGAGCTTTGTCATTCTCATTAATACTATAATAAAAAAATAACTTAAGTAAGTTATAATAATAATATTATTATTAGAATTTAGAAGGATAGAATATTATTAATAATAAAGAAGAAGAAACTAAGTTATAATAATAATAATAGTCTACATAAGTACAAAACAGATAGATACATACATACAGTCTCTATAGATATTTGAAACAACGATACAAAAACAAAGAAACAATGAGATAAGAGTGAGACCGAGAGGGAGAGGGAGAGACAATGTAGAAAATAGAACGAGAGAGAGTGAGACTCGACTCAAGAGAAAGAGAGAGAGAGACTTCATACCTTGAAACCCAACCCTAGTTCGTTGGAGAAGATTAGAAGACTGATTCGAAGTTGTTGGGACTCTGATTTGAAGAAGATCGACTTACAAGGTATTTATATCTTCTTCTTATGCAATTTCTATTTCAATTGAAGTCATGTATAGCAAGTTTCCATTAAATACTCTATTGTTTCTGTTTTTTATTTTTTAAATCTAACTCCTCAAAGGCTTGTGCCTCACCATCGGATGCGTGAAAAGCGCATAAAGCACGAGAGAAGTGTATGCCTTTGCGATTGAGACATGTGCATAGCTGGTGTCTCACCTAAAAAAGAACGCATCTGTGTGTTTTTGCTGCGCTTCACCTCAAGACGCGCCTCAAGTCGCGCCTTGTTTGCGCCTTTGAAAACCTTGGTCATGCTTTCAACCGTTGTTCTATCTTTGACAATGTACAACAATAATTTATAATGCTTAGAACCATAATGCTCTACATTATGTAGGTAAAGATGGTACAAAATGTATGCAACAATGCTAGAGTTAGCAAGAGGAATGTTGTGTTCCCCATGTCAAGTAAATACCTATTTTCATAAATAGTAGTGTTTTCCCTCCATGCTACCACAACTTGAATGATAAATTCATTGCCATCTTTGCTTTAGCATCATACGAATTTTTAACCGCAACCAAAAAAAAAAAAAAAAGAAATTCATAAAAGCCATTCTAAGAATAAAACCAAAATTAATTAATAAATTCAAGTGTTGTAAGAGCTTTGTCATTCTCATTAATACTATAATAAAAAAATAACTTAAGTAAGTTATAATAATAATATTATTATTAGAATTTAGAAGGATAGAATATTATTAATAATAAAGAAGAAGAAACTAAGTTATAATAATAATAATAGTCTACATAAGTACAAAACAGATAGATACATACATACAGTCTCTATAGATATTTGAAACAACGATACAAAAACAAAGAAACAATGAGATAAGAGTGAGACCGAGAGGGAGAGGGAGAGACAATGTAGAAAATAGAACGAGAGAGAGTGAGACTCGACTCAAGAGAAAGAGAGAGAGAGACTTCATACCTTGAAACCCAACCCTAGTTCGTTGGAGAAGATTAGAAGACTGATTCGAAGTTGTTGGGACTCTGATTTGAAGAAGATCGACTTACAAGGTATTTATATCTTCTTCTTATGCAATTTCTATTTCAATTGAAGTCATGTATAGCAAGTTTCCATTAAATACTCTATTGTTTCTGTTTTTTATTTTTTAAATCTAACTCCTCAAAGGCTTGTGCCTCACCATCGGATGCGTGAAAAGCGCATAAAGCACGAGAGAAGCGTATGCCTCTGCGATTGAGACATGCGCATAGCTGGTGTCTCACCTAAAAAAGAACACATTTGTGTGTTTTTGCTGCGCTTCACCTCAAGGCGCGCCTCAAGTCGCGCCTTGTTTGCGCCTTTGAAAACCTTGGTCATGCTTTCAACTGTTGTTCTATCTTTGACAATGTACAACAATAATTTATAATGCTTAGAACCATAATTCTCTACATTATGTAGGTAAAGATGGTACAAAATGTATGCAACAATGCTAGAGTTAGCAAGAGGAATGTTGTGTTCCCCATGTCAAGCAAATACCTATTTTCATAAATAGTAGTGTTTTCACTCCATGCCACCACAACTTGAATGATAAATTCATTGCCATCTTTGCTTTAGCATCATACAAATTTTTAACCGCAACAAAAAAAACAAAAAAACAAAAAATATATATATATATATATATCCAAAGTTTGAGAATTTACCACCACATTGTCCCAAGAGAAAATAAGTCCATATGCTTCATCAGGTTTCATGGCATAGCGAATTCGTTTAAGAAATCCCTCTTGTAGTCTGTCATTCAGAAAATCCTAAACGCAGTACAATTGAACACCCATAAGTAATTGAAAACCATTGCAGCATGCCCGAGGGCACAAAAAATAACCAAATACATATATACACACACACACATATAAAGAAGGATATATGCTTGTGGTTTAACTAAAATTAGGGCCCTTGATTGAGTATAATGGCAGAAAAACAGGTTCTTGAAGCCAACCCCGAGTAGATGGGACAACCTTTGCTGAGTTGAGTCGAGTTAATAACAAAAAATATATAAATGAAACCCCCTACGTGTATGCTGTAAGCATGGATATTGCATCAAAGGATCAAAAAATTTGCTTACCACATCGACTTTAAGCGGTCCATCTGGTCTGAAAGTCTCAAAACCTTCTCCATATTCAGCTCCAATTGCCTGAAAGATACAAATTATACTCTCTAATCGATCAAAATCAATCCCTAGAACATGAAAATCAAGAGAGTCTGAATCCCAAAAACCCTAGCTTCACAGGCATGAAAGTCACTGACTTCAATCTCCAAAAACTAAACCCAGACACCAAAATTCCAAAAACCAAATACCCAAATTGGATACATAACAAAAAAAATTTAAATTTAAATAAAAATAAACTCGAGAAGGACAAAGTAGCTTATCGATGAAAATCAAAAATTGGATACATAACAAAACATAAAAATAAAAAATAAAAAACTCGAGAAGAACAAAGTACCTCTTCGATGAAAATCTTGTTGGGTGTGCTTGGGAACCCATTAACAGACCCGTTTTCTTCGGATCCACAAGCGTTCCTTATCACTAGACGACGATTCTGATAATATCTCGAACGCTTTAATCTCTATTTTCATTAAAAAAAAATAATAAATAAATAAAATCAGAGAGGTAAAGATTGAATAAGCGGGATATAGAGAGAGAGTACCGATAATATGAGCTTTGTTGGAAATAGTGAAGCTCGAAGGGGATGAAACGACGACGGTTTGAGAGGAACGAGAGAGGTAGAGGAGGTTCTGATGATAGTGGAGTCCATAGTTTAGGAGAGAAGTTGCAGTACAGAAGCTGGTAGATGAAGAAGAGGGATATTCCTGGGTCTGGGCTTCGCTTATCCCTTTTCATTGTACGGATGGGCTATTTCCCTTGGTGAGGCCCAAAATACCCAACCGGCCCAAGAGGTGTAATTTCGAGTTGGGATAAATTGAACCGGTGTTATCATTAAATACATAAAATACACGAAATGTATACCGGGGTCGTTTGGTAAAGTCGTAGTTTATTATTTTTTAGTAAAAATGAAAATAAAAAACATGTTAGGTACAAAAATATTTTAAAGTTTTATTTTCAAAATAAGTGAAAATAAGGATTATGGGAGGTGATTGTTGACAGTTAGAAATAGTAGCCGAAGAGGTTTGCTGGCAACAGGAGATAATGGTCAAAAGTGGTTGTCAGTAGTAAGAGACAATTGGTAATGGCTAGAAGTTGTTTTGGCCACAAGAATTGTTGTCAAAGTGATTGTCAATAGTCAAAGATGATGGTCGATAAGCCGCCTAAAATGGTAGTTCAAAGTGTTTTTCAATAAAAAGCGGTGGCCAAAGATGATTACCGCTAGTAAGAGGTAGTTAGCAGTTGAGAGATATGGTAGTTGAAAATGGTTGACGGATGAGGCCATTGTTGGTAATGATAGTCGATAATTATGAAAAAAGAATGACAATGAGACAGGTTTAGAGCGGATTTGTCGTTATCCGCTCCCACCCAATATCATATTGGGAGAGAGGATAGATATGTTAGTTTTGTAACTTTAAAAAATTAATTAATTAATTAATTAATTATAATATATTATATTATAGATAATAATTTATAATTAATGAGAATTAAAAGATATAATTAATAAATAAATGAGTGTAAATGAATATTAAATATAATATTTAATATTTTAGTTTTATTATATAGTATACTTTCTATATTTTAATTATGTTCATATGGTATTATTACAGCACAAAACGTTACGCACATGAAAAAAATTAATTAATTAATTAATTAAATTAAAAAATTAAAACATTTTTGCTATTTCATTATCCAATAATTAGTATTAGAGCAGGTGACATTCAACCATCTACGATAACATGGGCCTGCTTGCACCAGGTGGTGGAAGATTGTCGGGATGCCAAACGTAGTGGTAATGTGACACTGACTATTGTACTGTTTAAAAAATTAGAATTACACTCTTGTACATTATTGATAGTTTTTAGTAGGGGTGTTCGCGGATCGGTTTTGTGTGATTTGCGGTTCGGTTTTGACCCGCCCGCATCTATGCGGTTTGGGAAAAAGTCAACCCGCAACCGCCCGCAGTGCGGTTTGCGGTTTGTGCGGATAGGGTTTGCAAATGTGCGGGCGGTTGCGGGCGGTTTGCGGTTTACACCTTTTTCTTTAAAAGTTAATTTTCGAGTTTTTTTTTCCCAGCGAATTTAGGCATCAGATTCATTTTATATATTTGTGATAACAATTTTTTGATGAGTTTACAAATAAAAATTGAATATCAATGCATTAAATGAAAGTATCCTAGAAGAAAAATTTTATTAGGAAAAAGTTGATGAATCACCAATGAAAATCATATAAGAAACCAAGTTTAGGACTTGATAATTCTACGGCATTAAGAAAGTTGAGAAATACTTAAAAATAAGGATCCTAGTGTCATAGAGAATATAATGGTGCTCCTGTAAAAGTTACAAAGTTGGTATATAAAAAAAAATAATAATAATAATAATAATTGAAGTGTGGGCGGTTTTAGCGGGTTGCAGGTTTAACCCGCGACCCACCCGCAACCCGTAAATTTGTCATATTTCAAACCGCATCCGCCCGCATTATGTTTGCGAAACTACTCATTTATATGCGGGTTTGGCGGTTTGAGCGATTCAGATAAACCGTTGCCCACCCCTAGTTTTTAGTGGGTTTGTTTTCAATTTTTTGAAAATTAAATTTTTTTTTTAGTGAATATTTTTAAAATTTTAAGTAATTTTTTTATTTTTTTAAATACACCTTACTTAGATGTATCTAAATATAACATATTTTTAAAAAATTAATAAATAAACAAAAATATGAAAAATGTATTGAATTTTTAGTTTTTTTAAATATTTTTGGTATTTAGTAAATTTTTTAAAGATTTTTTTCACAAATATTATACTTTGTAAGTATATTTATGTTAAGTGTGTCTAAAAATTAAAAAAAAATTAAAAATATTTTAAAAAATCATTAAAAATTTAAAAAAAACATAAAAAAAAATTCAAAAAATCAAAACCAAACAAACTAGTTTTTGGTAATGGAAAACACTTATCCAAAACAGAAATGATTGGTAGATCGAAAGAGAGCTCCCGAATTCCCCCAAATTCAAAAACGACGTCGTTTCGTCGTTTTTATTTATTTTTTTTTTTTCAGAAGGAGAAAGAAGAAGAAGAAGAATAAGAACTGAAAGAAGAAGAACTGGAGGGGCCAACAAAATCGGGCTGGAGACAGAGGCAGAGGCAGGGGGTGGAGGCGGAGGCGGAAGCAGAGGAAGGGGCTGCGAGGCAGAGGCGGAGGCGACGGCGAGGCTGTGACGAGGCGACGATCGGGCGGAGGTGACAGCGGGTGGAGGGCTATCCCAGTTACCATTTCCTCCTCTTCCCCTCTCTTCTCTTTCTCTCTCTCTTTCTCTTTCTCTTCTAAATTTCGGGCTATTCAGGTGGACAAATTTGTGAAGAAAAATCATTTTTCTATCCAAAAATAGAAAATGTGGGCTCATTTATGTTGATTGTCCAGTCTTGACATTATGTAGCAAGAACTAGTCAAACCTTAAAATCTAGAGGGCACGATAGTTATTTCACAACGAGTAAAAAATAAAAAATAAATATAAAAAAAAGTGTGTTGGGTTTTATTTTTTTGAAAATTAAATTTTTTACTTTTTATATTTTTTGTTTTTAGTGAATATTTTTTAAATTTTAAGTATTTTTTTTTTATTTCTTTGGATGCAATTTACTTAGATATATTTAAAAAGTAAAATATTTGTAAAAAAAATTTCAAAAAATTAATAAATACACAAAAATATGCAAAATATGCTGAATTTTTTTATTTTTTTATATTTTTGGTATTTAGTTAATTTTTTAAAGATTTTTTTCACAAACATTATTCTTTTTAAGTGTATTTATGTTATGTGTGTCTAAAAATTTTAAAAATTGCTTAAAATATTAAAAATAATTCAATAAAAATAAAAAAATACGAAAAATGAGAAAGTAGAATTTTTTGAGAAGTGTTTTTAGAAAACTCAAATAAAACAAAGTGAATAATAATTTAGAATAACTTAGGGTTGGTTTGGCAAGGGCTCATTGGGCTTTTTTGGCTCAATGAGCCATAAAAGACAGAATAGGCTCATGAGCCACAACAGACAAAACATCCCATCCAACCCCATAATCATTACACTCTTCTCTTACAAAAAAATCAAAAAAGCCAAAAAGCCAAAAGCCCTTCCCAAACTAAGCTTTTGAGCCCAAGTTCATATAGTCAAAAAAGTCAAAAAGTCAAAAAGTTAACCCACTTCCCCAAACGGAGGCTTAGAAGAACACATGCCTATTTTGTCTATTAGGTTAAAAATTAGTTTTTTAACTTTTTAATTTTTTTTTTGAATCATATCACATATCTATTTTTTTATATATATATTTTTTGAAATGTCAAAAAGCTAATTTTAACCTACTTCCCACAACAACGGTATTCTAAAGCTTTCTCTTTTCTGGTTTCTTTTTTCTTTTTTTTTTTTCATCTAAAAAGTGAAATAATTTTGGCAATATCATAATCAACGCTGCAGCAATGTCTAATTAACTAGAAAAAATTATTCTTTATGAATGATCTATTTGACAACCTTGTACCATAAATCACTCAAATCATCCAAAGCGATTTGGGATAAAACCCCACGAGACCTCACAATAGTACTGTTTGGTACAAATTATTGTAAATTAAAAGGTGATAATCAGAAAGTAAAAATTAAAAGCATTCATTTCCCAACTTTTAAATAATTAATTTTTCTCAACTTATTTAAGCCATTTCTACTTAAAAAACTGTAAGCAAAAACTATACCAAACAGTCTGACACGGATTTTCAAATTAAAATAAACTATAATCACCTTCTATGATCCACACCAAACACCCCCAATTCTTATTGTGTCTTGCGACACAACAAGAGCCCCAATTACTACCCGACATCTCTATTGTTGAACTCTCCACCCTCAGGCTATAGGCCTCATTGGACACTTTTAAAATCTAGGGCAAATTACACATACCTCCCTCGAGATTTGGCTAAATTACAGATACTCCCTGAGGTTTCGAAAATTACATCCCGCCCCCTGAGGTTTGTATTTTCATAACAATTTGCCCCCTGAGATTTATATTTCATAACAAATTACCCCCTAATTTGTTATGCAAATATAGCATTCAGGGGGAAATTTGTAATTTCTCAAACCTCAGGGAGGTATTTGTAATTTAACCAAACCTCAAGAGGGATATATGTAATTTGCCCTAAAATCTATATTACACGATAAGAATCATAAGTACTAATGATAAAGGAGCTTCTCAACTGATGTTATTAAGGTCTCGTTTGGCAAGTAGCTGTTTTAATTAAAAAATAAAAAAGTTATTAAAAAAATTAAAAAGTCAACAATTTATATCAAAAAGTTAAAAATTTAATTTTCTCTCTACTTTTTACACATCTTTTTATAAAAAGTCAAAAAGTCATCCCAAACATACTAGTTTTTTTTACATCACATTTTATCCAAAAAACAAAAAATTACTAAAAAAGTCTGTTCCCAAACGAGGCCCTCATGCTTTGTTTGTGAATAATTTTTTTAGTCTGACTTTTTAACTATTTTAATCTGGCTAAAAAAGTTCTGTTTGGGATGAATTTTTGACTTTTTTTTTATAATTTTGTAAGAGAAAAAGTGAAATAATAATAATTTAGACATGATATTTTATTTTTTGACTTTTTAACTCATTTTTATCTTTTATTGGATAAATTAGCCGAACCATCTTACCAAACAAAGGCCCATAAGTCTTGAGTAAGTAATTCA